GATGGACACTGGGTAGAGGTAACTATGGGGAGGAAGTAGGAGGGGAGCTGTTGCATTGTGGTAAACTGTGGTCAATGTCATGAGACAAAGTATATGTAAACTGCTGTATGGAAAGTGAATTTGCTCTGTAAATCTTCACTCAAATCACAATTTAAAAAAAAAAATTAAAAAAAAAAAACAAGCAATAGTTTAGTTTAACTAATAAAGAATGTCTTGAGCATTATGCTCTTTTAAGATCTATCTATATGGGATCAAATTGACAATAGCAAGACTAGATAGGAACCTTAGAGGGTAATAAGCTTATGCTAGTGGTGGCAGAACAACTCAGAAAAAGAGGGTAAGAATGGTTATACAACATGAAGAATATAGTCAGTATATTGTACATATAGAAACTGTTGAATTGGTGTATGTTTTGCTGTGCATATTCTCAACAACAACAGCACAATAAATAAAATTTTTAAAATTAATGCCTATAGACTCAGAGTGCTAAACACAGAAGAAAAAATAAATTACCTAAAACATTCCTTTAAAAACTATCACAGTAGTAATAATCCATATTTATTTTCATTCCTTTTTAACATCCTGATGACATATAGATATTAACATTTTAAAATTTTTCCTTGTGAACTTTTACTTTACTGTAGTAAGCACATATTCACAAATAATGTGAATAATTTAAAATATATCAAGCTGGTAGCATAGTACCTAAGGCATATGACTGCTAACCAGAACGCTGGTGGTTCAAACCCACCAGCCACTCTTCAGAAGGAAGGTTGGGCAGTCTACTTCCATTGTGATACCTCCTTGGAAACCCAAGGAGAGGTTGCTGTGAGTCGGGTTCGACTTGACGGCACATAACAACAACATCACAACATACAAATTAAGATTCCTGCTTTTTACTGTTTGTATAGTATTTGTCAATAAAAAATGAAGTTAAATATATGAAATTTTATCTATATTTTTAAAATGATACATAATTTCTAATACTTACCTATACTGCTGAGAAACATAGTAAGATACAGAATCCTTATAGATCTCCATCGTGCCTTATGATGCTCTTCAGTTTCTATAACATCCCATTCTCTAGATGTAAAGAAGAAAAAATTAGTATAAGTCTATCTTATTATGTATGGATTGTTGAGGGGCATAATCATATTTTTGTCTTTCCTATAGTCATAAGGTGATATGATGGAGAGGCAGATTATACTAAATTTGGGTTTTGCTATAATAACTCATCTACAAATAAATCTTATTTTTCCAAAGTGTTTCCATGGTTTGTATTTATGCATCACTTTACATAGAAACTTGGTAAACACAAGAAAAATGTTGCCAAAGCAGTTGTTATGCTATTGTTGGCATGCTATAGGTTTATTACTCACGAGTGTTAAAATTTGTTAAACTGACAATTAAATAAATGTTATCATCATAAAGCAAGTAAACTAGTTACAATAATTAGACCAGTCCCACGTGGGAAATACAGCTACTAAGTATTAAAAGACAATTACCGTCATCATGAACTCAATAACAACAAATTAACTTTGTACAGGAAGCTGCTTTGTCTGGGTGCTTTCAGCAAAGTAATGTAGAAGTGACACTAGGGAGGTTTGATGTGACCTAAGACATTCCTAATCCTGGGACACTGGAACACTGCTTTTGCCTCAATGTGGGTTACAGGGTCCATCAGCCGAATAGAGGAACCAAAGGCCTGCCAGACTGAACTGACCTAAACCAAGAGCAATTGTATTAACTAGAAATCCTTCCTGTCATGTGATACATGAATGTTTGTGTTGTTATTTCTAGGTGCTGTTGAGTTTGTTGCGACTAATAGTGATCCCACGTACAAGAGAATGAAATACTGCCCAGTCCTGTGCCATACTCACAATCCTTGCTATGGTTAAGACCATTGTTGTACCCAGTGTCAATCTATCTAGTTGAGCGTCTTCCTCTTTTCTGCTGACCCTCTACTTTACCAAGTATGATGCTATTCTGGGACTGGTCTCTCCTGATAACATGTCCAAAGTACATGAGATGAAGTCTTCCTATCCTTGTCTCTCAGGCACATTCTGGCTGTAATTCTTCCAAGACAGATTTGTTCATTCTTCTGGCAGTCCATGACATATTCAATATGGTTTGTCAATACCACAATCCAAATGCATTGATTCCTCTCCAGTCTTTCTTATTCACCGTCCAGTTTTAGCATGCATAGGTGGTGACTGAAAATACCATGTCTTGGGTTGAGTGCAAATTAGTCTTCAAAGTGACATCTTTGCTTTCTATCACTTTAAAGAGATCATTTGCAGCTGATCTGCCCAATACAACACACTGTTTGATTTCTTGACTGCTGCTTCCACAGGTGTTGATTGTGGATCCAAGTAAAATGAAATCCTTGACAACTTCAATCTTTTCTCCATTTATCACAATGTTGCTTACTAGTCCAGTTGTGAGGATTTTTGTTTTATGTGGAGGTGTAATCCATACTGAAGGCGATAGTCTTTGATCTTCATCAGTAAGTGCTTCAAGTCCTCTTCACTTTCAGCTAGCAGTATTGTGTTATTTACATATTTCAAGTTGTTAATGAGTCTTCCTCCTATCCTAATCCTGCATTCTTCTTCATATAGTCCGGTTTCTCAGATTATTTGCTTAGCATCCACATTGAGTAAGTATGGTGAAAGGATACAACTTTGATGCAAACCTTTTCTGATTTAAAACCACACAGTATCCCTTGTTCTGTCTGAATGCTGCATCTGGACCTATGTATAAGTTCTGCACAGCACAATTAAGTGTCCTGGAATTCCCATTCTTTGCAATGTTGTCCATAAATTGTTATGATCCACACAGTTGAATGCCTTTGGATAGTCAGTAAAACATAGGTAAAGATCTTTCTGGTATTCTCTGCTTCAGCTAAGATTCATATGATATCAGCAATGATATTCCTCATTCCACATCTTCTTCTGAATCCAGCTTGAATTTCTGGAAATTCCCTGTTAATACATTGTTGCAACTGTTTTTTAATTACTTTCAGCAAAGTTTTACTTGCGTGTGATATTAATGATATTGTTTCATAATTTCTGCATTTGTTAGACCACCTTTCTTTGGAATGGGCACAAATATGGATCTCTTCCAGTTGGTTGGCCAAGTAGCTGTCTTCCAATTTTTTTGGCACATATGAATGATCACCTCCAGTACTGCATCAATTTGTGGAAATATTTGTTGAAACATTTCAACTGGTATTAAGTCAAAGGGCAGTTTGAAAAGCCAAAGTAAATATGCAAAGACCTGGAGTCGAAAAACTAAAAGGAAAGAACATGCTCAGCATTTTTCAATATGAGTGTGCATACTTATTACATTTTCACATATGCACAAAGAAAAAAGTTAACAAAATTATCTCAATTTGAGCATTATGTTTTCAAATAATTAAGACAAGTACAACAGGTTAAATGCCTTATGTTTCAAGTTTACTTTCTAAAACAGACCTTACTATTGCTCTTGTTACTTGCTGTACAGTCTGCTTCGTCTCATGGAGACTCCATGAAGAAACAGAGTGAAATGTTGCCTGATATTGCATCATCTTCATGACATCTTCATGGGAGCTCTGGTGCCGTAATGCCTAAGGCACTTGACTGCTAGCCAGAAAGCTGGTGGTTCAAATCCACCAGCCACTCCTCAGAAGGAAGACTGGGCAATACACTTCCGTAGAGATACTGCCTCGGAAACCCAAGGAGGGGTTGCTATGAGTCGGAGTCAACTTGATAGCAGTGAGTTTGGTTTGGATTTTTTGGTTCATGACTGTTGGTGTGCTAGAGCACACTGTTGCAGCCTTTGTGTATTTTGAGTGTTTTCCAACCAAGGGGGCTTCATCTTCCAGAACCATATTGGACAATATTCTGTTGTGATCCATATGGTTTTAACTGGCTAATTTCTGAAAATACATCAGTAGGCCTTTCTTCATAGTCTGTCTTAGATTGGAAGTTCCCCTGAATCTTGTCCACCATGGATGACCCTGCTAGTATTTGAAATACCAGTGGCACAGCTCCCAGCATCATAACACACAAGCTACTACACTATGACAAACTGACAGACAAGTGGTGGAAAAATAGACATTAGAGCTGTCATATTGGTCTTGACAAAAAAGAAACCAATATTTCACAGGTAATGACAGACAAGTGGTGGAAAAATAGACATTAGAGCTGTCATATTGGTCTTGACAAAAAAGAAACCAATATTTCACAGGTAATGCGGTTGGGAAGGATAGAAAAAGAAGTAATGTAACCTTTTTTAGATCTACTATGTGTGAGGTATAGTATATATAATAATTCATGGTATAATGAATATGGTAATTAATACTGTATATGCCATTCCATAAGGAGCCCTGATGGCACAGTGGTTAAAGTGCTTGGCTGCTAAACATAAGATCTGTGATTTGTACCCTCCAGTTGCTCTACAGGAGAAAGATGTGGCAGTCGGCTTCTGTAAAGATTTACAGCCTTGGAAATCCTATGGTAAGTTCTACTTTGTGCTAAAGAGTTTCTGAAAGTTGGCATTGACCGGATGGCAATGGGTTTGGTTTAGGTTTTATGCCATTCCATAAAAACAAACCTTTAACTATAATGTTGTTAACTGCTGTCAAGTTGGCCCCTGACTTATGGCAAATCCATGCCCAATTGGACATAATAACTGTGATCCACAGACCTTTCAGTGGCCGAAAATTTGGAAGCAGATTGTCAGGTCTTTCTTCCTAGACTGTAATGTAGCGTAACTAAAGATGCCTGAATACAAATGTCTGTATTTTTAATTCAATACCCTAGAATTTGGAATACATAATGCAGGTAATTAAATAGTATCAAAAATATGCATTCATCAATCCCATAGCACTGGATTCATATCACTTTATGGCCCTAGGTTAATATATTTTTAAAGAACCCGTTGATGTTTTCTGGAGATCAGAAATTAAATTTATGATCACTCACTGAGAACTATCACTAAAATCACCCTGAAAAGTTTCAAATAATTATTTTGCTTACACCTTATCTAAGGCAGAAAAACAAAAGAAGTAAATGATTTGATTCTGGAAAAAAATACAATGAAATTGTTTGTTTGAATAACTTTAATTCAATTTAGATCTCTGTCAAAATAATCTTCTTCTAATAACAACTAATAAATAATATCAGGATGAATTTTAAAAAATCATCATTTAAGGTGGTAAAGTTAAAGGTCAACTTGGCTAGGCCTGGTTTTGAGTGGCTATGCAGCCGGATACAGTTATTCCCCATGGTGAGATTGACAATCAACTCCATGGTGGAATCTGCTGTAAGCATCTAAGTGGCTGCTTTAGGGATGTGGTCTGCTTCTAGTACATAAGGAGAAGCTTTGAGAATGGTCTGCATCTTTTTGGCAAGCCTGGGCCCTACATGTATCTGAGTCTTCATTTAGCAGCCTGCCATGTTTCCTGTTGATCTTGGGACTATCTCTGAACTTAAACTACTGGCCTGCCATGTCATGTGGTACTAACAAGACTGTGCCATTTTAACTGTTGACTTGGGCTTGTTAGCTTCAGTAGCAAGCAGCTGTCTGAGTGAAGAAAGCCTTCAGCATCAGTGGGACAGGCACAAAAGGCAGACCTGAAGCCCAAGGTCAAGGGACTTTCACCCAGCCCCTAGAGCCTGGAACTCTGAACTAGGACTCACAGAGTCTCAAAATGGAAAACTAATCTTTATAATGGAGGGTTCTAGCAGTCCCCTCTTAACCAAGCTAATGATGGGATGGGATGGCCTGGCAACATGTGGCTCCTAACATAATGCACTGGGAGGTTCTCAACATAATCCATGTTCCATTCTTACTGAAAATGTTTGGCAAGGATCTATAAAAGAAAAAATATACAAATATAAAAGAAGAAGGCACAGGGAGGAACGGGCAAGATGGCGGACTAGGCAGAAGGACTGCACAGACCCTCTTCAACAAAGAAAAGGGAAATCAATTAACACAGACACAGAAGATAATCCTGGACCCCTGAGCCTTGAAGGGAAGGATACAGAAGTAGGCTAAACCCCAACTAGCAGAAAAATTTGT